CACCTCGCCCACTCGGCGACCTCCTCCGCACCATGCTCACCTACCGCGACTCGGTCGACGGCCTCTACTCCTGGTCCGTATCGGACTTTACTCGGCGTCAAGAGGCCGACGTGCGCTTCTCCACCCGTCACGCCGCTGCCAAGGCTGCCGACGACGACGACGACGCCGCCGCGGCGCCTGGCGGCACCTCGGCCATCGCCTCCGAGTTCCCCGCCCTCCACGACCGCCTGCGCCAGCTAGGCGCCTCGTTCCGCACGCGCCTGCAGATCCTCCTCGGCGACCTCGCCTACCAGTCCGACGTCGACATGCGCTTCCTTGGCGTGGCCATGAACTTCAACGACGTCTACCAGCCCGCGCGCCGCAAGACAAAGGCCGCACCCGGATCAGCAGCCTCGGACGCAAAGGCGAGCACATCGGGTGCCGCCGCGGGCAAGGGAACGAGGTAGGCCAGCGTAAGAGACCAGGCGCCGGTCGCGGGGCGGGGAGGGAGGTGGGGGGCATCGTGTCCTCTTATACCGAAAGGTGGCGGTCGGATTCCATGGATCACGAATTGCGCGAGGCGCAGCTTTATGACTAGACCAACTTTGACTCTTCAATTTTTGACGACAGTATATGACCGAACCGAGCCATGTCGTTAACTTTGTTCAATGTATCGAGCTAGTATGATTGAAAAAAAGGGTAGCAAGTTATACCCTGTTGCAAGGCTTGTGTCGACCGGAATCTCTTGTTCACTCACGTAGTCGAGGCAGACATGTCACTTTTGATCCAGAATGCAAAGTAGGTCGTAATCCTCGTGCCATTTCATCATAGAATCATGAGCTAAAGACGGCTCTCTCCGCGAGAACCCACCTGGCCAAAGATGATACATCTTGGTACCCTGTCCCTTGAATATGGAGACAAGTCCTCCCTCTCTGCTTACTTTGACACAATTACTTCCACCACCTGACACGGCACCCTCTTGGCCGCTGCCTGCGCACCTTCACAACCCGTCTCCCTTCAATGAAGGAGGGACAAGCTAGACGCCACGGCGAGTAGCCTCGTGTACCTGCGTGTCCGTCCGCACCGGACCACTGGCCGTGTGGGCGATCACAGCCCCTCCTCTCCTCGTGAGCCACGTTGACGTCTTCTCTCCTTCTGTTCCCGTTCCTTTGATGCCCGATCCGTTTCTTTTTGACCGTTCGCGATAGGTCGATGTCTCGACACAACTATTTCGCCGCCCCACCCAGGGGCGCCCAAAGTCCAACACTCATTGTATTAGTCTATACACGCAAGTGACAAAAGCACTTGCAAATCAGCGGTCGGATGTGTCTCTGCTCGGCGCTGTTCGAGCAACACACCCTGATCCGCAGAAAAATGGATGTCTGTTTTGTTCCCATTCTCAGAAAACGATGAGGAAACTAGTGTAGCGATGTCGTAGTAACGCCATCGTCATAGCTTCCCAGTGTGATGAGCATGATGGTGAGATCAACAAAGGGAAACCGGGTGACGGTGGACGTGCGCACATCGCTGGGAGGAAAAAAACGCCGCTGCAACCCAATGCTAGCCACCCAACCGATCATAAGGTTGGTCGTGGCGTCGTCATATCTCATATCAATATATGCTTCGCCATGAGTCGAAGCTCAGAGTACTTTCTACAGCACTCAAAAATGTTCAGGGGCATTGTGAAATCCAAATGATTCTTCCGCACCCTGCTCGAGGAGAAAGTAGCCAGAACGGTACGATTCGGATCCTCTTCTGCGCTGATCAGCTCTGTTCAAATCAAGAACGCTGCACAAGCTCAGTGTCGTCATGTTGTTTAGTTGAGGTGAAGATGGTTTCGTCCTTCACACATCGGTCATCTCTGTATCCTCATCAGAGCTGATAGTGGCCATGTCGCCAGGTCCCCAGACGCCCTCGAAAACCGTGGCAGCTGATCGTCGGCGATCGGCGACCCAAGTCATTCCGGCGGACCCCAGAAGCTGCTGAATCGTGGGGCGCTCACTCGGCTCAGGCTTCGTCATCCATCGGACGACCTGGTCTAGTGAGTCTGGGTGGAAGGCGTCACACATGAAGTCTGGAGGAGACAACAGCTCCGACCGCTTAGGCGAAGAGATAGGGCTACTGCCTGCGTGGAAGGGCGGTTTGCTGAAGGAGTCGTTGAAGTTGACAGCAATATCTGAGACAATGCTTTGGTTCAGCGACAGGTCGTCTTGCGACAGACCAGTCGGAACGCCAGCCACATCTCTGATTTGCGTCGCAGAACTCGCGCTGAAGGTCAGGCTCGGGACTTCGGAAAAGTCACCAGAACGCAGCGCGACCCATGCAGGACCGTTGTCTGGGAGAACAACGTTGCAAGCCATCTCGACAAGAATAAGTCCCAGAGAGTAGATATCCGCAGGCTTGTCAAATTTGCCACGCAGGATCTCGGGACCGATGTATTCTCTGTCGCCCTCGGCGTCAACGCCCTTTGCAGCAGGCCATGCGGTCGCCAGTCCGAAATCACCAATCTTAAGGATACCCTCAAATGTTATGAGGATGTTAGCAGGCTTCAGGTCCAAGTGGATGAAGCCAGCGTCGTGAATGCTCTGCAAGCCCTACAGTTCGCGTTAGATGGGACTCGATGATCAGAATCGAAAGAGACGTACCAGGCTGATGTCATGAATGACCTTCCAGATGCGGAAATCGTCCAGCCTGCCCTTGCAACCAACATTGCTCAGGAACTTGTCGAGAGTTCCCTCGTCGCAGAATTCCGTCTGGATGAACAGATGGAGCTCGTGCTCCCAGCTGTCTACATAGTGTATGACGTGATCGGCGTGCGTCAGAGCTTGAAGTGCGTGAACCTCCCTCATTTTGTTCTCACGGTCTTTGGGGCCCATGATGGCGCGGCGTGCCTTCTTGACCGCATAGATGCGATCAGGCTCAGGGCTACCAGGAGAGTGGCGGCTAGGGGTGCCGTTGAAGATGGAAAGGAACGAGGCGCGGGCCGAAGTGCACTTGACGACACGGAAGACAGAAGAGAACTCGCCCTTGCCCACCAACTCGACCTTATCAAAGCGCGCGTATAGGGAATCGTCAATGTCGCCATTGCCACGGCCATTAACGGGCGTCATGAGCTGAGTACCGACGGACTGGAACGATTCGCGTCCAGAAGGTGTGACAGGGGGGCGCACGCCCTGAGATGGTGTTGATTCGTGTGCGTTGGAGATGGACAGACAGCTGGCATCAGGAATGATGACGGCGGCCTGCGGTGTCCTGGGAGTATGCTGCTCGACGGGGCTGGCTGAATGGAGGCATGATATGTTAGTCAATAACTTCTTCGGAGATTCGAATGCCGAGGTCCTTATCCGAGTTCGCAGGGGCGAGGGTGTATGAAACCCTTTTCTGGTTCTCGAACGGCTCAAGGACGGCAAAGCCAAGTGTAGGGAAGGGGTGGCAGCGTGGCAGAGAGGAGTGACAGAGTAATCTGGGAGTGCTGTAGATTGGTCTGCATCATTCCGCGGGCTGCTATGTCGCCTCGTATGTTGTGACTCACCAGTCGATTCACGAGAGATCTCGGGTCGGACGGCAGAAAAGGGAATGCTGATGGATCGATTGGCGGTTGGGCTCTCGGCACCCAAGCGTCTGGCGGAGAGGTTGCCGAAAGTCGGGGTGGTGCTCTGCTTCGTTGGTGTCGGAGGGGCGTCAATGTCAACGCCCAAAGGAATGACATGGTTGCTCTCAAAGGTGAACTTCTTATCCTCGCCATCAAGACTAAGAAGACTGCCCCTGCGACCGTGGCGAGGACCTAGGCGATGGAAGATACCGAGGCCCTTGCTGGAATTGCCGAATCCATTGCTCGACTGAATACTTGAGCTGAAGGCGAGGCAGGGGGGTTGCCGGTGG